AGATGGATAACGTAATATACATGATTACGCTATCCCTTTTCTCGGGCAGGTTAATGCAATCAACGAAACTAGCACTTTGCAAATGCAACTTTCTTTGAAAGTATGAAAGTGCGAGCGGACATTCCAGTCTGGCTGGGTTCGTCTACACTCAGCAAAATGTTTTCTGCCGGTATCCATAATTCATCGATAATATTTGGCCATTTAAAGCATGCACTGCCAGTCGGTTCCATGAAAATGATATTGTAATCATAATCTGCACTGTCATATGCCATGATTTTACCAAATACTGTATACTGTGTACTGTACTCTCAGTAGTGATGAAAGCCACTGGAGCGTGGGAAAATGGGTCAGAAGGTCACTAGTAATCTGCCCCATCACGTAATTCACAATAACGTAAATCACATTTTGCTCTATTTTATTGTCTAGCGCGAAAAGTCCGAAGTTAACTATTTGGTCCATAATGAAGTGAGTGCATATATATAATTTGGTCTAAATATCAAATAGTTGGTGTGATTATTAATTACTGAGGAATATGGATAACGTAATATATGTACATGCTTAACGAGGTCGGGGCTACAATTTTTGCAGTTTGGAATATTGTTGACCTCAGATGACTGTCGAAGTCTCATGGAATTGTATTTTTTTTCAATTCACTTACATGTTATGCAAAATAATACTCATCAATAATTCAGCTATGAGGTTTTATTTTATTGATGTATCCACCAATAATGCGGATAACGTAAAACACACGTGTTTTGAGGAAAGCATACTTGATTTCAAACTTGTTCATTAATATCATACCTCTTACAAAATAATGTGTTATTATTAAGTGTTCATGCATACCCTTCAAGATAATACGAATACCAAAGTAAATTAATTGTTATTTTAAAACAAATTACCATTATCAAATATTAGGTTAGTGCTTGGGAAATATATGGACTTTTCCGATCGTTCGGTCTCATTTTAATGATTATAATACAATAATATAGTAAACTATATATATTTGAGTACGACGGTGGACCAGAATAAATAGATAGATTCCAATTACCTATTACGTTTCTCAAGTTAAAAAACAGTGAAATGAATATTGGTCTCGTTTTTCGTAGAATAGCCCATAGAACATTCCTCACAATGAAGGTATTGTTGCTTGCGAAGAAATTCTTCGCACCAATGCACCAATGCTCCATTACAACCTTTCAGTGATATACCTACAATGATTCAATTCATATAAACCCTTAATCATTTGGAATTTAATGGATGCCACTGTAAATGTCGTGCGAGTAAGACGTTGCTGCATGCACAGAGCTCCCGTGTTTTTATGAGTACACGTTCTGAGGCAAATGCCGACGTCGTTGAAGCTCTCAGCTTTGAAGAGTTCGTTAAACAATCGCTTTCAAACATTATGTCAAGTCAAAGAGATTTGGAGTTTGAGAAATCTATAGCATTTAACGAAAAACGAATCAGTGACTTCTTGTTGTTGTTGTTATTGGAGAAAGCTCAATCCCGCTATGATGTTAAGCACGCGGAATTGGAACGTGATCTGCATACGGCTCGCAACGCTATTCAGACCATGCAAGCTGAGTTGAACAAAGCTGAACGATTTTCAAGAAGGAACAACTTACGGTAAAAATGGCCCCGGAAAAAATGGCCCAGGAAAAAATGGCCCTGGAAAAAATGGCCCCGGTCAAAATGGCCCCAAATGACAGGTAGGTAAAAATGGCCCCAAATGACAGGTAGGTAAAAATGGCCCCAATAATAAAATTCTGTATTAAAACTGATTTTTTAAAAATCATATCCTTTTTTTTAGGTGAAATAATTTAGTTTTTAAAACTAATCTAATCAAATAAATTGCCATTTACATTTTACTTTTTACAGAAATTACATATTCAATGATAAAATATTCAAAGATAAAAAATAGCCATGAATAACACTTTTTAATTTTTTTTCCATTTAAATGTTAAAAATAGCAACAACATAATCAATAAATCAACATAAACCATGCATTTATTAATAGTAAAATAATTTATTTGTGTGCTAATTTCAAGGAAGCGGAATCACAATTTTCCTGAAATTCAATCCGGGTATTGGTAAACCCCACAAACAATGAGTTTATATGAACATCAAATCATTATTATTTTTTTTATATAGAAAAAGAGTTCTACAATCGTAATTAAAGGGTTTGGATGGGGTTCGCAGTGTGTTTGGAGGATTGTGGTGTATTTGCAAGTGTTTTTTCACAAAAAAAAAATCAACATTTTAACCAAAAAATAGGTTCTTATAAATATTTATTTTTCTTATCGATATACCAAGTGAGTCAATCACAATTGAATTGTTTGGTTTTCTACAGTGTGTTTTAGGTGGTTTTTGGGATTTAGCAATACCATCCTACCATAAATACTTTACCCTCACAATTACACGCCATTTTAATTCTTAACATAATGACCATATTTACATAACTATGTATATAATATAGTATCTCAGTTTACATTATTTAGTATAGTTTTAGGCACTTAAATTTACTTCGCGGGGAGTAGAAACCAAGTAGGCCTATGCAATTAAATAAGTTGCTTAAATAAATGTATTCCTAATTGTTCAGTTTACTTTAAAAACAATATTTGATTAACAAATACTTCTTTGAAGTAACTCTAAGCAGAACATTTGTTGAAGTAAAGTAAGCCTCCCTTTTCCCATACATGAACTTGTCATTTATCATGTTCAAGGTACATTTTATCGCAGTACGTTATAAAAGAAAGCACAGTATGAACCAGAATATTGTATTCTGTTACTTTTGTTGTTTATTCAAGCCTGTATTATCTGATTATTTATGCTTACTATTCTTACATTATACATATATTCGTATTGTAGTGATCTTATTACACTATTATTATAATGATCTTGTATTTCGGATTTATTTCTATTACTTACATGATGTTCCCTATAGTTTTAACCTAAGCTCTTCTCATGATATGTATAGTTTGTTATAGTTCACAAGTGGTGTGGTGTACCACAAGGTTCTATTCTCGGTCCTCTCTTATTTTTAATACATATTAATGATCTTCCCAATAATTTCTATCTTAAATTTATCCTTTATGCTGATGACTGTAATATCATTCATTCCCATAAAAACAAACTCTAATGAACACAACTAATACAGAGCTTAATAGGATTTCTGATTGGTTTAAAATTAATAAATTATCCCTTAATTAAATCACGCGTGCGAACGAAACAAAACTTCTCGGAGTCACGATTGATTCCAAATTATCATGGAAACCTCACGTTGATAGAATTTCTAATGTGGTGGCAAGAAACGTCGGTATATAATGAATAAACTCAAATACACACTTCCCGCTACTATCCTTTTCACTATGTACAACACTCTGATACTTCCTTATACAGTATATCTTATTGTAATATCTCTTGGGCTGTAACGGTGGAAAGAAGATCAGCAAATTATACCCCTGGACAAGTTTTGAAACGACTGAAATTGATCAAATATTTAAGCTACAAAAACGTGCGGTTCGAATTTGTTCAGGGGCTCCCTCCAGACCTCATTCCAAACAATTATTTTTTAACTGAAAAATATTAAACGTCTTTGACATTAATAAACTACAATCTGCCTTATTTATGTACCGTTTAACTAACAATCTACAAACCCTCCGATATTCATTCACACTTCACTCGTTTTTCTGTTACCAATGTTTATGCTAAAAAATGTGAGTTTCATACCAGATGCCATCCAATCCTTTACACCGGTCCTAAGCATTGGGGAGTCTTTCACACTCTTTAAAAAACAAACCATCTCTCTCAAGTTTCAGGATTACCTACAAAAAGTCTTTGGTGCAGATATATGGTGAGTAAGTTTCTCTTTGATCATTACTTATCTTATTACTATAATCATCACCACATTATTATTATTAATATTATTATTATTATTATTATTATTATTATTATTATTATTATTATTATTATTATTATTATTATTATTATGATTATTATTATTATTTATTATTATTATTATTATTATTATTATTATGATTATTATTATTATTATTATTATCATTATTATTATTATTATAAATATTATTATTAAGTTTGATTTCACACTTTATGCTGTGTTCTCAAGTTTTATGTACCATATGCTGGTTTTTACAGGGGTCAAGTCTTAAAGTTTTTTACTTATTTTGACCTCCTTCCACACTTCCTATAACTTTATTTCCACTTGTGCTTACACCGATTTTGTAACCTTGTATTATTATTATATTGTTATCACCTTAAAATTGTTATGTTAATTTGAAGTGCTGGAGAAAATCCATTAAACAAACAAACAAAACTATAGGCAAAAAAAATGGCACTGCATGGGAACAAAGATGGCAACTAGCTATGCCATAGTTTTTATGGCTAACGTCCGATTATAACAAACATAGGCCTTATCTCTTCTCACTGGCAAGTTCATGTCAAGTAACACCCATTAAGTGCAATAAAAACCCAGATTAAAAAAGCCTCACATAAATCTCGCACTGATCTTAGACCTAAATATAATAATGAGGGCTACCTATGGTATTCGACTAGCCCCAACATCCTACAACTGTCTAAGAAAATTTAAAAAGACTTCTCCCTCCAAGAAGACCAATCGATTAAAGAATTATTTTTACAGCCCTCGCACGTAGGCAACCCCCTAGTTTAAAGTCCACTTTAAACTCATCTAAACTTCCCTTCACTAAACCGATACATGGCAACACACCATGTAACAATAGATGCCAATTATGCGACATCATCAATACAGGCAGCTCATTCACAAATACTAATCACACCATCAATGACTTTAGGGCTATAATAATAGGTTGCAATTTTAAATCAACACAAGAACGACGTAACGCAGAAATAGATAACCCGGTTAAAAACTCACATTAAGGGACTAAATAAGGACTTAGGCTCTACATGTGATTATGCCTCCATACGCAATAATTCACTATGAATACAGTATCCAACAATGCTATATATTATTTCTTCTTATGTACATTTTATTATATTCATTGATTTCTAAACTGTATTTAATAATCATCATGATATCATGCGTTATATTATTTAAACTCATACATATACCATTATTTTCCTACAATTTATGTTCTATTCCACAATTGTTTTAATTATATAGGACCTTATATAAATCTTACTATATTTTATTGCCTATTAACTGATACTGTTTACTGTAGTTAAATTACTCTCAATTAAATTCAGCGTTAAGTTGGTTCAATGGCACCGCCGAACCATCTCTTTCATAATCATTTTGCCGACATCTTATAATGGTTTAATTGCAATTAATTCGCCCATTAACTTGTCACTGAACTTAAATTTTGTGGTCCAATCAACTGATTGTATCTCTAACTTGATTCCGATTGGTTAATATCATTTATTATTCTTTATGTATGTGTACGGTCGTCAGCGTTTTCTCACTTTAACGTTGATAAAGATAGCAGCTGGAGCTATCGAAATATCCATTTGATAAGAAATATTTCTATTTAAACAGTTAGCGGCTTCATCTTCAACATATGTCTATAGGTATTCTTTAGTGAGGAACGAATACAAACAAAATGAAACTGTTCTAAAACTATTTGTTAAAAACAAATCAAATATGTTAAAACATAATGTAATGATGATCTATCAAGTTATACATCAAAACAAAAATAGTTTCATTATGTTGTACCACTGAACAAAATGGTGAATAAATGTTGTGAATTCACTGCACAAAAGAAAACAATAAAAAAATAAGAAACTTTATTATGAAATTAACAAAAATTGGAGAAAGTGTATAATGAAAATTAAAATTAACACTCATAGGAGAGTACAACAAATAGTTATTCAAAAGGCTAGATAAACAATTAGAACGTCATAGTATTTAATGGAAAAAAATAATAAAATAACTTAACTATTTAATAAAAAATAAAATTTATTTTGTAAAAATTAAACAAACATTCAATGCATGATAAAATTACTGTTTATTCAATAAGGTCAATAAATATTAATTAAACACTGCAGTTATAATTATTTGATCGAATGATCACTAACATCTCGTCAGCCAGAGCGTTTAAATCTCTAAGCGTTGCATTCATTAAATCAAGAAAAAAATATAAGCCTACAAAAAAATGTTGATAAATGGCAATAATAACTAAAATACATACATAATTAACTGATTTGCTTCAAAAACAACTTGTATATATTTACATCCAAGTCACTATTATCTCCACCATATAGTTCATTAACATTTTATTTGATTTACCAAAATTCAGTACATATAGTACATAGAGTAAATAAGTAATAATATAATATAATAAATGGAAAATGTATCTGTAACCTTAAACATACTGCTGGAATTTGTCATGAAAATTGCATTTTACTTTTCGATAAACATAATGTAAAAACTCTAAAGCTGAATATGCAGGGTATAATTAAGCAACTATACACACGCACACACACACACACACACATGTTTACTAACCACAGTCGATGAGAGAGGTCATAGGTACCTATTTGTTTTAATACAGCATAATGGATTTCTTAGCCTACCATGTATTTACAACAACATAATTATTTAGAGGATGGAAGTATTCTCATTAATCTGATAATTCATATTCATATTACCATTATGAAGCTGAGATTAAAATATCAATGAGAATCCGTTTAAGTTGTCCAGAATGTAAGGAATTTTGTTGCAAACTGTTCTTGCAAGATCGATTGAGTAATATTCTTTATCTTGATAGCCTCCAGGTTGTGCTCCTTGGTCCTCTGGATACACCTTATATGCTCCATACTGCTTGTTTTGCTTTTGGTGCTTATCTGTGTTATTGAATTCCATAAAAGCCATAATCCAGTTGTTATCTTGTGGATTCGTGCATGGCTGTATCTGAAAAAATATATTTTAATGCATGGAACCGTATAAATTGTTGTCCTATTTACCATAGCACATGCAGTTGACTACATTAATCATTTTAAAAATAAAATGACACATGATAATAAAATATACGGTACATTCAGTTTTAATATCAAGAGCCAATGCATCTTTACAATACAAATTTTGTATGCAAGATTTAAATTTCTTAGTTTATACAGGATATATATTGAACGTTAAAAAAGAATCTGGAAACTTGAGGAAAGAGTTGCGAAATATCGTTTAATTTACTTACCTCTGCCAAAAATGTAATCAATTCTTCATCAATATTTCTCCAATTAGAGTGCTCCAGTTTATTTCTAACCTTTTCTTCAGTCTGTTTCTTGTCAAAATTACGATGGACACAAAAAAAGTCAAGAGTCTTGTCGGTATTAACATTTAATGGGAGATAACGTTTTGCTAAATTATTCATTGCATAGTTGAGTAGGTTACGAGAAATCTGAATAACGTAGGCTGCATTACACTCTGGACAGCCATTTTGTGTTAGAAGTGCTTTTTCCATCTCAAATTGTTGTTTTCTTAGACGTTTTAAATCTCCGAAGGTAGCACTTTCTAAAACAAATTTAAACCTTTTCTCCAAACTCTCTCGCGCAGCATCTACACAGTTCTTTTTAATTAACGTATCGGTGTAGGCACACATTTCGAAGAACTTTGAGTTACTTGTGTCCATCATTTCTAGGGCTGTCAAAATACGCTTTATTGCATCTACATCACCATAGTTTGCTGCGTTTACATATTCATTCATAGTGCCTAAAAAATTCCCACGTTCGTATAGTAGTCCTTTTTTAAATGCCAATCTACCTTTAAGTTTGTTTAAATCTGCTGAAGGCGTTATGCTGTCTAACAATTTATCTACTTCCGCTAATGAGGCGACGTCAACAGAGAGCCCAATGTTAATATCAGCAAGAATGCAAGTTATTTCGGATTTTAATGTCTCATCAAGAGCCATTTGCAATGCATTTTTACAATACAAAGAGGCGAGATGTAAATTTCTTAGTTTATACTCAAGTTTCGCAAGCTTACAAATTTTATCAGGATTTTCTATTTCATCTTTCCAATAACATCTAAGATTTTGTACGCAAATTTTAACGGACAAATTTATTTCATAGTAAAACTTAATTCTATGTGATTTTTGATCAGGGTTGCATTGACAGCATTTAAATGCTTTGTCAATTGCTTGATCGTATCTCAAATATGCTCTGTTATCTTTTTTTTTCATTAGCATTGTGCCATAATCACACATGATTCGTACAAATGCAATGTCATCGTCTCCATGTTTAATTAATAAGTTGTCGAATACAGATTCCACGTTTTTGATATCTTTTTGGGGATATAATAATTGCTTAGTATGTTCCAAGTTTACGTACAGATTAAACGGATTCTTCTCCAAAGATTTTTTAAGATATATTTTATATTCTGCCCATTGTTCTCTTTTTTTGGCCAATATTGCTCTTTGGTGTAAAACAAATGAATGAAGTTCTTGACCGGATGCTATTGCCACTTTGTAGGTTTTCTCTGCTTCTTCGCACTTATCCAATTTGAGATAGAGCTTCATAGCGTGCCCTACAATCTTCATATTTTCTGGTGTAAGATCTTCCTTATTTGTCAGCGCTGTTGTGATTTCTTTTAACATTTTAGTAGCTCCAGATGTATTGCCATTTGAATTAATTACATCTGCCAATTCTACCTTTGCATATAGGTAATCATCTTTTCTTTCCAGCACCTCACGTAGCATAATTTCCAACTCTTTACCGACTTCATTTGAACATCCATACAATCTCCGTGTCATAAGTGCAAACGAAAATAGATATTCATAGCTTTCAGGATTTTTGTTATTGGCTTCTTGAAATTCAAAAATACATTCAGCATAACGATGAGCACCTAACCTTGATAAAGAATATCCCTTTATAAAATTAAGAGATGCTTCAAAACGGTTTCGAGAGTCATGTTTGTTCTTTGAGTAAAGTTCTTTCAAACCCAGAAGTCTTGACTCAGTTCTGTCTATATCAATCCATGCTTCAAGTGCGTAGGCAACTGAAAGGAACCCATCTTTTTCCGGGGATTGTTCCCAAGTTCTCAATAAGGCAACCACTTCATTGAGACACTCGATTGCTTTAGTTTTGTCTTTGTTGACGTTTCCTCCAATGCCAGACATGTAGAGATAACTTTTAAACAACAACCCTTCTTCTTTAAATGTTTTGTGTGTCTCATCTTTAAGGTGCTGATCTATTTGTTTCAATAATATATCAAATGGTTTTGCTAGTTTCTTTGTCAAACTCCATTGTTCATGAAATTGGTAATCCAGAAGCCGCTGGTCCATCTCCATTGCTACGAAAACTTTTTAAAAGAACAAAACAATGAGGAAAATAAAATTAGTGAAAGATTCATAAATACTACAAGGTGTATGTTTTATGATGAGATAAGATAACTTTGTTATTCCACACAGGAAACTCTTTGCTGGTCATCAGAAAAATCGGCCAGATTAATTATCTGGAGAAACGGCTAGAAATAAATACTGTCGTATATTGTATATGATATTGAAGAAAGTTAGCCGTTAACACTGCTGAATAAATATAATATAAATCATCAAAGGTACATATACAGTGTTTAATAAGGACATGATGAAACATCGTAGCCTACACTGTAGCTTTTTAACGAATAAAGTCCTATAAAAGTCATTGTGTAATAAAATTCCTCCGACGGGATTCGAACCTGCGACCTCTCGCTGACAAGGCAAGCGTCATAACCACTAGAACACGAAGGCTTCATGGTTGAACAGATTCAAATAACCGTCGAGAACATTGTATTACACAATGGTGCGCCTCAAGAGGGCGTTTGGCCAGATAAATTATCTGGAGCAACGGCTAGAAAAAATACTGTCGTATATTGTAGCCTACGATGTTCCATCATGTCCTTATTAAACACTGTATATAACGATGTTCCATCATGTCCTTATTAAACACTGTATATGTACCGTTGTACATATATTATATATATATATATATATATATATATACATATATATACATACATATATATATATACATACATATACATGAAAACAGTCATCAAAAGATATAAACAAAGGCACAGTATAAGTAAATTTATTATCATCAATGTTATTAGTATTAGTGTTTGTTATTATTATCATTATCATTGTTACTACCGTTAAAATAATAATAATAATAATAATAATAATTATGATAATAATAATAATAAAAATAATAATAATAATAACAATTATTATTATTATT